GCGGGATGAACGTCTTGAGGTGTTCCTTGAACGGTCCATCGCTCTTGTCCTCACGCAGCAGCTTCTCGAAAAAGGAGCTAACCCAAGAGCTGCCAGCCTTGCGGTGCCTGAAGAGCACCACCTTCGGGTTGGGCAGCGACGGCAAGTCGTGCAGTTCATCTGAGCTGTAGCTCTGCATCAAGGTGGGATTCTTCTTGTGCTCGCGGCCAGCTGGTGCCACGGTCAGCATGCTCGAGCCCGCCTCCTTGGGCACTTCCTTCTTAAACCCCTGCTGGAACCCGATGCCCAGATTGCGCGGAGAAGACTCCTCTGGGGGCAGCTCCATGAGCCCCTCGTGAACGGCGCGCTTGTCGTTCACCATGTAAGTCTTGAGGACTTTTGGCAGCTCGTGAATGAGGAAGATATCCACCGCCCCGTAGACGAAGGTTTTGCGAGCGGCCTCCAGAAGCTTGGTGGCGCCCGCTGGTGAGATCGCGTACGTGTGGGGGCAGAACGTGGCTCCTTCCATCAGCAGCGGCCCATCGAGAGCAAAATCCTTCTGCTTCTGGCCGCTGAGCCAAACGAATTCGGTTTCCTCCGGTGCCTCGGCCAGGATGTAGTTGGCGAGCTCCCACCACGTCTTCGATTTTCCCGCCTTGACGAAGGCTGCATCCTGCTCGAGGATCACGGTCCATGAGTTTGTCCTCTGCGCCATCTCCCAGGCCTTCGCGTGCGCAACGGAGATTCCGAACTGATGCCATCCAAAGGAGGCCTTCTCGGTGCACACAAAGTCGGGCTTCGCGGCGGCCAAGCTCATCTGTGCGGCTTCGGCAGCCTCGGAAGCGGCAGCGGCGTGCTTCACCTCCGCCGATGGAGATGGCGGTGGTGTAGATGGTGGCGGATGTGACGGTGGTGGCGGCGACGGTGGCGGGTGCGACGGAGGCGGGGAGCTCGGAGGCGGGTGCGACGGAGGCGGCGGGTGCGACGGAGGCGGGGGGATGGGGCAGCCCTCGTCGGGCTGCAGCACGCCCAGCGACCGCGCGTGCTCCCTGACGGCGGGGCGCTGCTCCTTCATCTGCGCATATCCGTCGACCCCCTTCAGCATTTGGATCAGCCCCGCTGGTACGCCTGCCTCGACGAGGCGCCGCCTCGTTCCGCCGAAGCTGCGCGGGCGACGATGGCAGCAACGCGGTGAGCGGTGAGCGGTTCGGTTCGCTCTCTTCGATTGGGCCGCAAGCTCCCACGAGCATCGAATCTGACGCCTTACCCATTTTCCTGCAAGGAGATGACTTGGAAGGATCCGATGCGATTCGGTTCGCTGGCCACGTTGAATTCGCTAAACTTTCGGGCGTGGTCTCTCAGCGGCACGGGCTCGAGGAGCGAGGTCGGCTCGTCCTCGCCCACCGCTTGGGCGATCGAGCTGAACCGAGGCTCGAGGGTGTGTTGAGGCTCGCGAGCCGGGAGCCCAGCGCGCACCGCGATGGCGACGGCCAGCATGCGGTGGCCCTCGCGGCTGCGGTCCGATTTGGAAAGTAGAAAAGACCTTCCTTTTCGAGGACCGAAGCCTGAAACTCCCCCTCTTCGACGCGTTCCTTCTTTCGCCGAGCCTCCTCTCTCCTGCGAGAGGCAAAGCAGGCTTGGGCCTTTCACCATAAAGGGGAGGCGACACTTCAATGCTTCTTCTTCGAGTGCGTGCGTGAGCGAACGGGGGCGGAGGTCCTACCGGTACCACGGTAGCCGATCGTCCCGCTGGAGGACTACCTAACTCAGGTGGCATATGCAGACGATTGGTGCGGCACTTTCGACTCTAAGCAGCAGCTCTTGCGCGCGTGGGGACTTTGGACAGCGTGGGAGCAGGTGGTGGGCGCCAAGTTGGGCATAAAAGGCTGTCTCAAGACGGCAGTCTCTGGGGTTATCTGGAGGAACGGTATGGCGGAGCGAGTGGAGGATCCGGGGCTCATCACGGCGGACGGGAGGAAGGTGCCGTATCTCGCACCGTGGGAGGCCTACAAACACCTGGGCGTGCTACGCCGGCTCGACGCCGACGGCACCACGGCCTGGCTGGGTGCCAAGGCGACGGCGGATAGTAAAGCCATGCCTGGTATCCTGAGCAAGCTTCGGGCGGCGCTCGCCCGGTTGCGAGAGGTGCGCCGAGGAGCGATCACGTCAGGGGAGTTCATTCTGATTAGCAACGCACTGCTGGGAGGTCTTGTCGGTTACTACGGGCAGAGCGTACACATCACGTGGAAGCGGGCTGAAGAGGTGGAGAAGGAGTGGCGTACCATCTACAATTCTAAGTATGCGAGGGATCGTTCAACGCCACGGGCGGACCTATATGAAGCTGGGGTGGATGGTCGTCCGGGGCGAGTGCACATCTACGCCGCGGGCCTGGCAGCAATCAAGACGGCGGTGGAGAAGGGGATCGCCACGAGAGGAGCGCTCGCGACGCGCACGGCGGCGAGGTCGACAGTGGCACTCAGCCTGCACACGTGGGGCTGCCGTGGGGATCCGAATCGATGGCAGTTCGCACATCTTCGAGCAGCGCTGGAGGAGTCGCTGGAGGAATCGGACACGAAGTACATCGGAGATGCATGGATGCTCGCCACCATTCTGATGGAAGAGGCGGCGGACGGCAGTGGGGACGTGAACGAGCGACGCGGCCTGCGACGAGTCAGCAAGTGGGGCAGATGGCGGTATCACGATCAGCTGGCGCCGAACGACGTGCTCGCAGCCACGGCGTCGCACTTCCAGATGCCGGAGTCGCCGCTGCTATTTCAGCCGGGCGAGGACGGAGGGCTTGGGGCACCGGTCGAGCCAGTACTGTTGCAGATGGGAGTGGTCGCCCTCGGACATGTGTGCTCGAGCGAGGGGTGGGTGGCTCGTACTCGCCGAAGCCGCTGCCCGCCGCCGGGGCGGCGGCCTGCTTCGACCTGCCCTCCGCCATACGCACCGCGGGCGCCCGCGCGACGTGGAGCGCGTGCAGGACCGCCGGCAGGACCACCACCAGCAGCAGCGGCGAGGCGGGCAGGCCACGGCCGCGCGGCATGCCGGCTCGAGGCGGGCTCTCGCCCTGGAAGACTGGAGATCGCCCTTGGCCGAGCTCGAGCCCTGCTGTGAACGGTGGGACCGTGAACCGCCAAAGCGGCCGATGCCTCGCACGCTCCAGGTCGGCTCGCCGACGCTCGCGATCGCTGTGAGCCTCGACAGCCAGCATTTGGTCAGCGGCTCGTTCGACAGCACGGTGCGCATCTGGTCGATCGCCAACGGTGCGGCGGTCCGCACCCTCAAGGGGCACACGTGCGTTGTCTGGTCGGTGGCGGTGAGCCCGGATGGCCAACATGTGGTCAGCGGCTCAAACGACAAGACGGTGCGCATCTGGTCCTTGGCCGACGGTGCAGCGGTCCGCACCCTCGAGGGGCACACATCAAGGGTCAACTCGGTGGTGGTGAGCCCGGACGGCCAGCACGTGGTCAGCGGCTCGCTTGACAAGACCGTGCGCATCTGGTCTTTGGCCGACGGTGCGGCGATCCGCACCCTCGAGGGGCACACGCAGCATGTCTGGTCGGTGGCGGTGAGCCCGGACGGCCGGCACGTGCTCAGCGGCTCGTTCGACAGCACGGTGCGCATCTGGTCTTTGGCCGACGGTGCGGCGGTCCGCACCCTCGAGGGGCACACGCACACTGTCACATCGGTGGTGGTGAGCCAGGACGGCCAGCACGTCATCAGCGGCTCGGGCGACAGGACCGTGCGCATCTGGTCGTTCGCCGACGGTGCGGCGGTCCGCACCCTCGAGGGGCACACGAACACTGTCTGGTCGGTGGCGGTGAGCCCGGACGGCCAGCACGTGGTGAGCAGCTCGCACGACCACACGGTGCGCCTCTGGTCGCTCGCGACTGGCGCCTTGGTCTGCACCTTTGAGGGCCACACGCTCGCTGCCTTCTCAGTGGCGGTGAGCCCTGACGGCCAGCATGTGGTCAGCAGCTCCTGCGACAGTACGGTGCGTCTCTGGCCGATCGCCGACCTGCGCCCGCCCGCGGCCGCGGCTCGGGCGTCGGACGAGGTGCAGCTCGTGGGCGAGCGCACGCGCGAGCAGCGCGACGCCGACGGCAAGAAGCGCGCCATCGACCTCGAGAGCAGCCCGAGCGGCGAGGAGCTCGCGGAGCGCGTCGCGACGGCGCGCTCGCTCACGTCGGCGGCGGTGGACGCGCGGACGAGGACGCTGGCGCTTCCGGCCTTCGAGCTCTTTGTGAAGGACGAGATCGACGAGCGCGAGCTGGTTCGCCGCAAGAAGGCGGCGCGCGAGCAGGCGGCCGCGGAGGACACGACGCTCAGCGCGCTCGAGCAGGCGTACAGTGAGTACGTGGCGGCGGCGGCGGCGGAGGAGGCGGCGGTGGCCGCTCGCGAGGCGGCGGTGCGCAAGCTGGAGGCGGCGCTGCGGCCGCTCGAGACGGAGCGCGCGGCGGCGAGCGGCAAGCGCATGAAGACGGAGGCTGCGGCGGCGGCGGCCGCCAGCGCCTCGAGCAGCAGCGAGGCGACCGGGCCGACAGGGCCGACGGCCGACGCGCCGGCCCGGCGGCGTGCCCGGCGCTGAGAGCAGAGAGGACTGGCGATTGCATGGCGCGAGCCCGCGGGGGCGGCTGCCGACACGTCGCGCGCGAGCCGAGCTGGGCGTGCTGGCTGCAGCGTGCACAGTGGCACAGTCTCTCTGGTTTTTGCTGGAACGAGCAACGACTGAGGACGTCTGAGGACTGTGTGTCCGTGGGACTGGGTGCACTCCGATCATACATGGTACCTGGAACCTGGTACTCGCTACTCGGGCGGCCCTAACTAAGTCTCCCTGCACCCTGGCCTCCGACGCACGTCTCGTGACACACCCGGTGACACTCAGAGAGAGTGCGAATCAGTGCGTGTGTGCGTGCCCGTGGCCCGTGCGGGGATGATCGGAATTCGGATGTGGGCGGGAGCGGGACATGATATCGCTGTGTGGAACCTACGAGCTACAGTACGATCCGTACCGGAGCTCATCTCTCCACCCCCACGGGGCCCACGACGAGCAGCTCGCTCGTCTCCCGGACGGAGCTCGAGTCGCCCACCTTCTCGACCACGTCGATGGCGTCGAAGGCGCCGTAGAGGGAGTCCGAGGCGAGGCCGTGCGCGATGACGACGGCGGTGTCGTACGGCAGGCTCCTGAGGAGGTGGGCCATCGCGGCCTGCCCCTCGGCGTCCATGTGCTGCATGACCTCGTCGAAGACGACGTAGCTGCAGCTCAGCCCCAGCCGGCCGCGCGAGAAGTCGGCGAAGGCCAGCGAGAGCGCCAGCGCCAGCCGCCGCCACTCGCCGCCCGAGAGCTGCGACACCGAGCGAGACGTCTCGGAGCCGTCGGCGCGCGTCAGCACCACCTGCTTCCGGATGGCGCCGCGCTTGGCGTCGAAGCCCAGCTCGAGCCGCATCGCGCCGCCCGAGAGCATCCCCGAGTAGCGCGCCGCCGAGCGCTGCAGCTGGCCGATGGCGAGCCCGTACAGCATGTTCTGCACGCCGCGCTTGCCGAGGTGCTCCGCCAGCTCGCCCATCGTGCGCTGCGCCGCGCCGCTCTCCCTCAGCGCGGCCTCGAGCTCGAGCCGCCGAGCCGTCGCCTCGTCGCGCCGCGCGCCCATCTCCTGCAGCAGCAGCCCGTGCGGGTTGACCTGCAAGCGCAGCGCCTCCAGCGCAGCGCCCGCCCGCGCCGACGCCGCCCGCGCCGCCGCCGCCTCCGCCTCCGCCTCCGCCGCCGCCTTCAGCTCCGCCACGAGCGCCGCCTCGCGCCGCGCACCCCACTCCTCCGCGCTCTGCCGCGCCGCCGCCGCCGCCTCCTCCAAGTCGCGCAGCCGCGCCCGATCCGCCGCCCGCGCCGCCGCCGCCGCCGCCTCCGCCGCGACGCGCTCCCTCTCCGCCACCGCCGCCTCCACCGCCGCCTCGCGCGCCGCCGCCGCCGCCGCCGCCGCCGCCGCCGCCGCGCCCTGCTCCGCCTCCGCCGCCGCTTCCAGCTGCGCCTCCCACGCCGCCAGCTGCAGCCCGTCCACCGCCCGCCGCGCCTCGAGCAGCCTGCCCTCGCCCCTCCGCAGCGCCGTACGCCGCGACTCGACCGCGGCGGCTAGCTCCGCGCGCCGAGACTCGAGCACAGCCGCCGCCACCGGCTGGCCGCAGCTCGCGCACACGGCGGCCGCGTCGGAGGCGACGGAGGCGGCCGCGTCGGAGGCCGCCGGCTCCTCGCTCTCTGTGGCGTGGTGCGCTGCCTCTGTGGCGTGGTGCGCTGCCTCTGTGGCGTGGTCCGCGGCCGGCTGCGGCGGCCGCAGCTCCTGCAGCAGCTGCCTCGCCGAGAGCGCGGCCGCCCTCAGCGCGCCCACCTCGTCCTCAAGGGCCGCCACCACCTCCCCCGGCGCCACGACCCCCGACGCCACATAACCCGCCAATACACGCGCTGCACCGACGTATTCCCCCTTACCCTACGAGGCTATTACGCAGCGAGCCATCTCCGCTCGAGAACAGCGTCCCCACCACCAAACCAAACATTGTCTGCGCCCCAACAACAGCCTTAAAAGAAGTGCGGCCCGACCCTGGCACTCATTCCAAGACGTTTGCAAGATAATTCATCCATTCATGCGGACCTGGAAGGCATTCT